TCTTTCTCTTTATTACTTTAGACTAGTTGGCTTAATATTTATTCTGTTTAGTGGTATATATTTCATTTTATGTGCTATACATTTTGCTCAAATAGTGATACACTTTATTATTTAATGCATTAGCAAATCAGCAGGAGGAGATGAGATGTGAAAATTTTGTAGGCAGATACTGTCTTAGGACTATACTTGGCAGCTTGAACATTGACCCAGTATTTTAAAAATTTACTGAACTTGTACCAAATGCTTCCCAAAGTTTGCTGATAAGAATGCAGAAAGCTCATGACAGTTGTGATCCTGAAATGTAGATTAAGTTAGATTTATTTCTAAATGACAGCAAACATTCTTAAACTTTAAATTCTCTACTTATGTATCTAGACTGTTTCAAAAATTAAAATTCCAGATATTTCCCTGATCATTAGATTTGTTTTGGTTGTAGTTTTGTTTTGTTTTGTTTTTAAAGTATTACTCTGATTAGCAGGGAAAAGAAAAGATTTGACAGATGAAAACTTGATCATTTTTTAACTAAGATGAAATGCCTTAAATTTATCAGTTTACTTACCAGAATAATTATTCATATAAGGGAAAGGAAAGGTGAAAAGGAGTAATGAAATGGATAGGTTTATGAGTTGGGGGGGGCAAGCGTGAGGAAATGAGACAGAACCTTGAGAACCTTCTGTCTCATAATTAAAAGGGAACAGGAAGCCTAAAAATTTAGGTTTTTAAACATTGTCTTTGGAGATGTAACCATTTGGGTTGGGTCAGGGGAATAAATAGTTAGCAGAATTCAGTCCAAATGAGAAAAATGAACATAAGACATAATTGCAGAATCAAAAGGAAAAGTACTTTTAGGATTTTAAAAATATGGCTTAGTATATCATTGTGGTTAAGATACTTATCCCTGAAATAAAAATGCATGGGTTCAAATCATGGCTCACCACTTGCTAGGGGTGTTGCAATGCATGTAAAGGGCATCAGTCAGTACCTGGCACAGAGTAAATATTCTGTGAAATGTTGTTGATGATGGTGATCATGATGATCGATACACCATTCCACAGAAAATGGGGCCGATTACTCCCACATTGTGTTAATAAAAATAGAGTAATTTGGTACCATTTTCAAATGTGTGATCATCACCAAATTGACAGAATAGAGTAGAATACTGGATAAATTGTCAGTGGTATTATTTTTAAATAGTATTAAATAAGAAAGGTCAGGTGCTAGAGAACACAAATTAGTAATCTAATTAAATCACCAGCAAAGAGACAGATGGTGTTAACAGCAGTCAAATTTGTTATTACAGAGCAATTATTAAAGTGAAATATTGAAAGATGCTATGTATCATTACTAGGTTTTAAACATTTCATTTACACAGGCAGAAAAGTATAGATTAATCAGTTCATTTGTTAAGTTAAAAGCTCCTTTATTAAAATATTTATATAATTTGTATAAAGGGAGCAGCATCGTTGAGGACATAAAAAATATTCTGTGGCATTCTGAACTACATTCCTTTATAAAATTCTTTGCACAAGTAGCTCTCAATGGCACAGTTTCCAAGTACCACGTATCCTAATTTGTGAGATTAAATAAGTTTCTGGTTTTGACATTTTGCACATTTCCTTAAATCGCTCTCAAATAAAATGATTTCAGTGTGGCACCAAAGTATTATGTAGTCACATCATATATTCAAGGAATGTCATGTTTTATGAAATATCAGAATTTTTACAAGACTAATGAAAGTTGCTTTCTTCCACATCCTTTCCCCCACCCACCCCACCCCTGGGCCACCACTTGGTTTCGGGACTTCACTAAGACTAGGAAATCCTCCATAGGTTCTTTGATACTGTGATATTACAACTGGACACATCCAGACATTCACAGCCTTTATACCAGGCCGAACTGGGTTCCCTTCCAGGCTCTGTCAGTTTCAAACTTGGGAACCTGGGGCAAGTGACCTTAACCTCTTTAAGCTCCAGTCTCCTGATTTATAACAGAAGGATTAATATTTGTCTCATGACTTTACCATGAGGATTACATGACTATTTTTCAAGATTTATTTATTTTTTTTAGAGAGAGAGCATGCAGGGGGGGAAGGGGCATAGGGAGAGGGAGAAGGAGAGAAGCAGACTCCCGCTCAGGAGGAAGCCCCTCGCAGGGCTCGATCCCACGACCCTGCGATCATGACCTGAGCCGAAATCAAGGGTTAGGCACTTAACCAACTGAGCCACCCAGGCGCCCTTTCTTACATGACTATTTTACATGGATAGGTCCTCAGAGTACTGGCAGAAATACAAACTCAACAAGTTGTCATTTTTAAATTTTTATTTTCACGAATCTTAAAAGAGTAGCAGTCATTTGGTCAAATTTACTTAGATACTCCTGATACCTGTTTAAATAAGTATCTGATACATTGAAGTGTGTGTGTGTGTGTGTGTGTGTGTATAAGGATTCTTTGATAAATTATATTTTTTTTCTAAAGAAGAGTGAAAGAAATGGTTTAATACACACTCGCACACATTTATACAGATAATCTCCTGCTTACAATGGTTCAAGTTAACATTTTTCAACTTGACGGTGGTCGAAAATGGTAAGCATTCAGTAGAAACCATACTTCGAATTTTGAATTTCGATCTTTTCCCAGCTAACGAGATGTGGTAAGATTCTCTTTCATCATGCTGGGCAATGGAAGTGAGCCCCAGCTCCCAATCAGCCAGGCCCTCATGAGAGTAAACAACCAGTAAACTTGCAATCACCTTGTGCCCACCCAACCATCCTGTTTTTCACTTTCAGTACAGTATTCAATGAATTACATGAGATATTTTCAACACTTCATTATAAAATAGGCCTTGTGTTAGATGATTTTGCCCAACTGCAGGCTAATATAAGTGTTCTGAGCATGTTTAAGATAGGCTCGGCTAAGCTATGGTGTTCAGGAGGTTACATGTATTAAAAGCATTTTCGACTTGAGGCATTTTCAACTTATGGTGCATTCATGGGGACTTAACCCCATCATAAGTGGACAAAGAGCTGTATATGTAACAGAATTAGTATCTGTGTTTAGTATGATTGAAAGGGCTTTGAATTTAGAGGCTTGAGGCTCTGGGAAGCTTTTATAAAATTCTCATCTTGAGATTCATCTGCTTCCGCATATAGGGCATAGATTCGTACTTTGAATAGAAGTGTCCTGGTGACTTTGATATGCCTCACTTTGTTCTTGGTTAAGAATCTGTGAAGATGAAAAGTTCTTGAGGAACTCATAATTTATTGGGGAAATATGCACGAACCATGTAAAAAATTATCATAATAGATCGGAAGTGCTGAAACATATTTATAAGCTAATTGTTATGGCAGCAGAGAGGAGGTGGCACTTGCTTTAGGTTTTGAGGGAAGAAGAGGAGTTTAACAGGAGAAGAACAAAAAAACATTCACAAAGTAAAAGGAACAACACTGGTCGAAGCAAAGATCCAGAGGTTGTCAAGAGGAAGAAGGTGGGTTTCTTGAATGACATATTGGATGAATATCAGTACTGTGATCAATTTGAAAGTTATTTGGATTTATAAGCAAGAACTAAGGATGAATTCTTCTTTTCAAGGCTAATTTAAGTTTTGGTTATTAAAAAACAAAAAACAAAAACAACCCATGATGTTTTTTGTTGTTGTTGGGGCTAAGACACTGAGGGTTTATTATCATTCTTTTTAAATAAATTACCACCAGAGGCCAGAGGTGTTGTACATAGCAGGAAAAACAATCAGTAAATGCAATAATAGTGCCTTGGTGTGCACTTCTAGTTTCAAGGTTAATTATTTGTTTAATTAAAGCCTTCAGAATCAACTAGAGATGCTGGTGCCCAGAAATATTAGGTAAATGTGAGTCTCTTTGGCGGTGTAAGAATTGTGTGATGATCTTTTCAACCTCTCAACACAATCCAGCCTTTTCTCACTTTGAAGACTAGATTATGTTGTACCTTTATTTGTATTTTTTTCTCCTATAATTGTTGATTATTTATACAATTATATCTGCGTATCACCAAGGAGGGAATTGAGGCTTAGAAAGGTTAAATTATGTACCTAAGGTCCCTTACCTAGAAACTGATGGAGTCATGAGTGGTGCTCAGGCAATTCTGTCTTCTGGAAAAAAAGTTCTTGCCATTTTATGAGAGATTAGACTGATGAGACAAGGAATTCAAGGTAGGAAGATTGTTGTGGAGGCTGTGGAAATTGTCAGTAAAGAGAAGATGGCAGAGACATAGAGAAGCACACCTGACAAGAGACATTGCCATCCCATCAACAGCATGGGATGACTCGGTGTGGAGAAAGAATGAGATGTTGAGGGTGATTTCTGAGGTCCAGTCATTTTTCATGGATTCCCTCGCAACAGGGAACACAATGGAAGAATGGAGATAGATGAAAATAATGATTTGTGCTTGGGGTTGAGTTTAGCAAACCAGGACATTGTTGGCGCTTCTGCTCTGGAACTCAAATAAAAGATGAGAATAAAGATGTGAATTTACTGACAGCTTGGACATACCCTTCAAGGTTCCTCAGGTCCTTGTTTTTTTTGCTTTGGTCGCTCACATCAGCTATCAAATATTGAAGTGTTTTTTTTCTTTTTTCTTTTTTTCCTTTCTGCTATTGTGACAGAGAAGTGAAAGTACGCTCATGATTTTTGCAATGTGCCTTTGTCATTATAACACATACTCTTATAATGTAGGCCTGGCCAAATATCCAGGATGTAAAAATCAAATGAGTCTTCGTGCTCCCATATTTTGCCTGTATTGTTGTATTTGTTGCGTGCTGTTGACCGAGAATGTGATCTAAGCTTACTACGCCCTGGACTCATTTTGCTAACCACTGTTCACTGGGGATGTAAGGTGTGCTGGAGTCTCACCTGAGCTCCAGCTGGTGCTTATTTCTTTGAAAGTCAGATTTGGGGTTCTTGTGATACTGTGACTGCAGAGCTGGACGTGGTGTGTTCATTACTTTTCCCTCTAATGTCCTCTGCAGAAACTGCCTCTTTGGGAGCCAGGACCTGTGAGGAGGATCTTACGGAGCAGCAGTTGAGAGGAACCTCAGGTAATTGGTCTTAATCCTTTTCAAAATCTTGTTTGTTCTAAGTGAGTTACATTTGTTACTCTCATAATTTATGTAATAAATGTATCTCTAGAACTTCTCTAATGAGATCTGATCAGATCTCTTATACAAATAGGTTAAAAGCAAAATTAAATATAAAATGACATATATGCTATATTTGGATCCATATGTAAGTTAACATCTGAAAGAACAAGCAACTTCTGCAGGATAATTTCTCACATCTACATTTATACACTATGAGGTTTCACCTAAGTGGTCAGTTTGTTACAAAGTAGAAGTCAAAAAGCCAGATATTGGGGCGCCTGGGTGGCTCAGTTGGTTGGGTGACTGCCTTCGGCTCAGGTCATGATCCTGGAGTCTCAGGATCGAGTCCCGCATCAGGCTCCCTGCTCAGCAGGGAGTCTGCTTCTCCCTCTGACCCTCCCCCCTCTCATGCTCTCTCTCTCATTCTCTCTCTCAAATAAATAAATAAAATCTTAAAAAAAAAAACCCAGATATTATTTTCCCCCAAATCAAACAACCTAGTTGGTGGAGTTATTTTGGGGTAATTAATGAGTTGATTGGACTTTGTATACTTATATCAACACATTTACTAGTCCCTGTGCTCTGTGTGTTTGTGTGTGTGTATTTAAAAAAAAATGGCAGCAATGCTTTCTGAGCTGCATTATATTCAGACAATTTAAGAGGAAATTCACCCTTGTTGCCACAGTGCACCTCATTTATTCCTGGCTCGATCCCAATTTTCAGATTTCTACAATTATGCTATATAATATGACCAAAAAAAAAGATTATAAAAAGTCCTTTGCATTCATAATGGGGAATTGAAATATGTTCTGCAAGTGAAAACATTCCTCCAGTATAAAGTCAGAACTTCTCTCTTTAAAAATTCTTTAAAGTTAAGTTCACCTTCACCTATGCATTCTCATGAACACTTTTTCATTTTATATGTTGTTTTTCCCCTACGAAACTGGAGAGCATATTTAACCAGTTCTCTTCCCTCACCTACAGCCCAATCAGAGGATTTCATTAATGATCAGTTTGGGGGTAATAGGCCGGATATCAAGACTATGACAAAAATATCAAACAAAAAAGAAAACACTCCCTGCCAATACATTTATTTATTGTTTCGTAAACAAGGGCACTGAGATCTACACCTTCACCTAGGTCTCTGAGAAGCTTTATATTGAGATACTGTCATGCCTTCTGGACATTTTCACAGAGATATTCTATAAGGAAGTCCAATATAACAAATTCCAAGTGGACTTTCTCACTTTTGCAAGACCATTTCTTCTCCTTCTCCATCTTAACTGATGCCATCCTGCTATAAACGTAGTTATCCTAAGTAAGAAAACTGGGAATCCTCAATTTTACCCAAAATATTAGTGCCAGGGACTGTTGGGCGTAAGTCATGAATAAGACAGATGACTTCTGTCGTTTTTTCAGACAATATTTCTATACAAATAAAGAAGTTCTATTCAGATTGCTGTGAATATAATGGAGGAAGTAAAAGAGATAATGTGCTAGAGCAGAGCTTCTCAAAGTGTGGTTGCCATACAAGCAGCATCAGCACAACCTGGGAATTGTAAGAACGCACATTCCTGGTGCCCATCCTACATTTACAGAATCAGAAATACTGAGGATGGGGCCTGGCAATCTGTAGTTAACAAGCCCTCCAGGTGATGTGATTCCCACTAAAGTCTGAGAATCCCGCCCATGTTACAGGTATTGAGCATTTTTAGAAGCAGTGGTCTGAGAAGTTCTCTGAGGAAGTGACAGGTCAGCTGAGTCCTAACTAATGAGAAGGAGCCAATTACACGAATCTGGAGAAATGCCTTCCAGCTAGAGTTGGAAAGAAGTTGGTGATGTTCTTGGAAGAGAAAGAAGGCTAATGTCTCCAGAGAGAGGTTAGTGAATGAGTAGGTGAGTAGCATAAGGTACAGTCAGAAAGGTAGACAAAGACCTGGTAATTTCAACCAGAGTAAGAAGTTGTTATATGATTCTAAGTGAAATAGGAAATACGGCAGGGTATATCAAGCCGGAGACTAGCTTGATTCTATAGGATGTGCAGCATAAATTGTTGGAAAGTAAGGGCAAGGCTTACCTAGTTATTAGACCATTTCAAAATCCAGGTAAGAGATTAAGTGTACTGGCAATGGAGATGTAAAGAAATAGATAGATTTAGTTTGTACTAAATATTTTTGGATTTTGACATAATAGAACTTGCTGATAGATTGTATTCATATGAGAGAGAAAGAGAAGAGTCAAGGAGGACTCTTGCTTTTGGTCGATGGTGGTACCACTAACTGAGATGGGGGAGTTGAGGGAGATGGGGGAGATTGGTGGCAAACAGAGTGAGTTGTGTTGAGGGGGAACCAGAAGTTCTAATTTGGGCATATTAAGTTTGATATGCTTTCTAGATATCTAAATGGAGATATAAAATTTTAAAGTGATGGATCTGGATGCTATCATCTAGGCAGATTATTATTTTTCCTCAAGTTAAACTCCCTTTGTAGATAGAGAAGAGAATAGGGCTTCAGACCAATGCTGGAGACACTCCGATATTTAGATTTTAAATGGAGGAGGCTTCAGCAAAGGGGAAAAAGAGGGAACTTTCAGAGACGTAGGATAAAAATCACAATAGTGTGATGCAGTAAAATTCAAGAGAGAGACCTTTTTTCAAGGAGAAGGGCATAGTAACTTTTGTTGAGCAAGGTTAAGTAATATGCAGATGGAAAAAGTGACCACTGGATTTCCCATCATGGAAGTTGTTGGTGACTTTGAGAAGAGCAATTGACTGGAAGCCAGACTGGAAAGGGTTGAATAATGAAGGTGATTTAGTAGAGAAAGAGAAAATGCAAACAAACAAACCAAACTACCCAAACCAGACCAAAATCAAACCAAACAAACGAGTACTTTTAAAAAGTTTTATTAAAGGGGAATAGAATGGGATAGCTTCTGGACTCCTTTTCTTCTCACAATTTTGCTTCCTAAATTAAATTTAGTGTTCCAACTAATGAGTCTTGCCTGTCTTCTATATTCCAGGCACTGTTCCAGGTGCTTCTGGCACAGAAATAAACAAGATAATTACTGTTTTCTGTAAAGGTGTACCTATCAGGGGAAGTAGGCTATACACAGATAATTTTCACACACTAGGATAAGTTTTTTGACATCAATACATAAGAAAATAAAAGCAATTAATTAATTAATTAAAAATTTTAAAAAAATGTACCCAGCAACATTAATCTTTGTTCAACATTCAGGGAAGAGTTTTTGGAGAAAGAAGTAATTAATGATACTAGTAATAATATAGCTAGCATTTTTTAGTACTTGTGTTATTTGTGTTAGGCTCTGTGCTGACTGATTTTTCTTCATTTATCTTATAACAAACCTATGAGGTAGGTGTTACTAACCCCATTTTTATGGATGATGAAACTGATACTTCCCAAGCTTGGCTTGAAGGAAAAGTGGGGGTTATACAGTGGCAAAAAAAAAATTGTTCTAGATAAGACAAGGAAATATAATGGTATATCTTGGAGGAGGAGGGCATTAATAATGGTTACGTGTTTCTGGGACAGTGGTTCACACAGTATGGCCCTGGGACCAGAAGTACAGCATCACCTGGGACCTTAAGAGATGTGAATTCTCAGGCTGCACCCTAAACCTACTGAATCAGCAGCTCTGCAGGTGGAGCCCAGCAATTTGTATTGTAACAAGTCTTCCACATGATTCTGATGCCCTAAAGTTTGAGAAGACTGTTGTTGAAATTACATGCTGGGTAGGGAGGGAAGAAAGATGAGACTGGGGTGGTAGACAGGGACCAGGTATCTTGAAGGTATTCTTGCCGTGTACAGGAGGTTGAGCTTTTTCTTTGTAGTTGAGGGTATCGCTCTTAAGATTTTAAGTAGGAAAGTCAAATGTTAAGTAGATCAAATGGAGGATAGATTTGGATGGGGTGGGTCTGTACAGAGAGACAATGGAGGAGTTCAGGAAAGAATTCTTCTAAGCCAGGTGTCTAGAATAGAGGCTCAGTACCTAAAATTAAAACTAATATATGAAATGTTGAAGTTATTATGCTGTTTCCTCTTTACATGATTACTCCATGGGCTTAAAAAGTATGCAGTGTTTTCCTTAGACAACTCAGAGGGTTTCCAAACACAATTGTAAAATAAAGCAACGGGAACCAAGCACAGTTGGCTGGAGCTTCGATCAGAGGGCCATTACTGAAGTAGATTTGCTTAGAAATTGTATAATTTTATAGAATAAATTAATAGTGATGTTCCAATTATTTTTTTATTATTCCAATGGAAGTATTCTAAGCTAGTCACTCAAAAACCTTTCTTTCTTTAAAATATAGTTTATGTGTATGTGTAGAGTAACTTATAAGATCATTATGAGAGGCCTGATAAAAATGCTAGGGGAAGTTCTTGTAACACACCTGTATAATGTGAGACTGCAAGAGTAGTATTTTGTCTTCTTCCTAGTATTTTGAAACATTTAAAAATAAAAATGTATTATCATTTATTTGAAAATTGGGAAGTCCTACAGGACCCTAATGCACATTTTAAGCTTAAGTACATTCATGTCATAAAGTTTAGCATATGAATACTGTATTTTTTATAGTCCATAAAGCAAAAGCATAATTAAAAATATATATATACTGTGAATACAACAGTATAATGAAATGTTATTATTATATATAATAGTGAAGAAACCTATTGATGAAAATGAAAACTGCTTTAGCATCTTTATTTTGGAATTTTATGTACCTTAGTGTCTTTATTTTGCAATTTTATGGAATGGAATTTTATGGAATTTTCCTTAGTTTTAAGGCATTCCTTTAATACATTAACATTACCTATTAATACCTTAATTATATATATATATATATATTTCCAATAAAGCGCCTTACATTTTATGGCATTTTACAGTTGAGGAAATGTGGTATTTCAAAATTAGAATGTAGACACCCCTTCCTTTAACCCCAAATCCAACCTACAGTTTTCCTAGAAAGCTGTTTCTCCTCATTAATACTCTTGACTCTAAAGTCTCTTTATAACACGAACGTCAAGTTTCTTTTAAAAGCTCTCTTTAAGAATGAAAGTGAGCTTTTTTTTTTCTGCCTTGTATGAAACTTTATGGTGTCTATACGTAACCCTTTGATTATTTTTTGCATGATTAAAAATTTGCAAAGTTCTATGGCTCCAAAGAGCCTACCTGTAATAAACAGCTTACGCCTTCCAAACCACAAAACAGGCCTGAATTGCTTGAGCATTAGAGCTAATTGCCTGCCTACTTCAAAGGAAGAACCAGAAAAGAGAGAGGGGAAAAAAATCACAGAAGCAGAGGTAATGCGGGCAAATCCACCTCGAGAGGTTATGAGTTGTGGCTTGGAAGAGCCAAGCAAAGTTATGGCCTCAGAACTGCTGTTTGCGATTAAGTTGATGGGGAGAGTCTACCCCACAATCTTTCCCTGCTGCTGACACAGAGTCTTTGTTCACATTCAGATTTCTCAAACTGTTGCCAGGGTCAGGCTGAGGTCAGACACCACAGTGATGTATAGAAGAACATGTCTGGGAATTTCTCTCACACTTAAAACACATCCTGCAAAATGAGGAAGACCCTGCAAAAACTGTCTGATGAGACCCAGATTATACTGTAGTTTTTTTCTTTTAGTACCTTCATAATTTTTGTGTTCTTCTCCTGACACACTATATTTTATTAATGTGAGTTGCGATAGCCCTTACAATTTTATGTCCCCTCAAGATAAGGACACTCAGTAGCACTCTGACACTTCATTTTCCAGCCCTGGGGGAAAGGTCCAGTAAATCTACTCAAAGAAGTCTTGCATCCCTTCCTCAGGATGAGTTGAAAAGTAATTGCCATGGGCTGTCATAGGTAGAAGGCTTGACACTGGATGTCACGTCACATGGGTGGACTTGGCAGTGAAACGGCCCAATCCAGTCATGACCTCAGCCTTCCTGTCCCCCTCCCCCCCAAACCAAGTGGCCATGGTCCCCACCCAGGCTGGCCCCTGCCCGGACGAGGGAGCCTGTGTTTGATCAGTAATTATCACTGATGGGGCGAAAGCAGGCTAGAGCCTTAAGAAGTGTTGATTCTCTCCTCTTAAGGTAAAAATTTCACGGGTATTTGCCTGAAAGGGAAGCTTCCCCCAAAGCTCTCAGATGACTGACCCCCTCCACCACGGACCTTGGCTCGCTTTTGTGCAGTGGCAAAGTGCAAATATGGAATAAATGGATTTGTATGGTGCCCTTTGAGGACTCACAGTTGAAACAAGCTCTTATTTCAAGTAATGTTCTTGTTTCCCCCATTGAGCCCAGAACTGCCCCCTTCTGTTGGATCCTGCTCACGCAGTTGCAGAGCCGGGCTGGCAAGTGAGGCACTAAATAGCAATTTTTTTTTTTTTTTTTTTTTTTTTTTTGTGCTCAGCTGCTACCTATGACAGTGGATATTTCATTCTGCTGTCAGAACGTTATTAATAAAACATGGGGTGTGGAGAGCGCCACGATTTCCCCTTTCAATCACTATAGCATTTGCAATGAAAATTTTATGCAGTGTGTAATTTTCAGTTAATGCTTGACACTTAAAATGTCCGTAGCAGCATTTTGTATGGTTATTGAAGGGTTAATTGTATCATGTTCTCAGCATAAAAGCTCTGCTTATCAAAAGCAAATAGAAGAGTGTATGCAAATGTGTGTCGATGACCTTTTGCCTTTCCAGGGTTAATTTATATGGTCATTAAAGATTTTATGAAATTGAGCAGCCTGGTGCTTCAAATCCCATTTTACCTTCTTCTCCTAATTTATGTAATTCCTACCTGAACAGGGGAATATGATTTTTATTTTTTGTGCTGCAATGAAAACAGCATGCCATGCTGTGGGGAGTTGCGAGTCTGGTTATCTGGCATTACTCAGATTGCTAAAAATTCATTAAAATGTGACATCAGCACAGTGAGAGACAAATGATCGCAGGATGAAAGAGAACAGTGGGCCTTTCACGGATTAGTGCTATACAGACCCAGCATAGAGGCTAACTGCATAAACAGATTAATCCACCAGCAGCGGCATGGCTAAGATTTACAGAATAATTAAATAGGGTTGAGTTACTATGAGGATTTCCATGTAATCTAGCTGGTGTGAACCCGTGAATGAGGTGTGGGGTGATGGGGTTGTCATAGAAGAAGTATACCTTCTTATGTTGTCCTATGCCCTGTATAGCTCCCCCTATAGAAGACACACACACGCACACACATGCACACACACGCGCACACACACACATACACATATACACACCCCCCCCCAGTGTAACTGAAGTTTTGAGATCCTACTCAGACAAATTCCAAAAAATTCCCCTCGGGCCTGGGCACTGAAGGCAGGAGTAGCACCTGTCTTACATTTAACCTGTCGTGTTCACATTAATTCACTAAGAATTTTTTCTAAGAGTTTGGTTTGCTCTGTCATCTGTCCAAGTCCGTGGAACAGTAGCTCCATGTAGTTTAGAAGTTTTACTATTAAAAAGACAGAATTGCCTTACACCCATTCTTAAACCTTTTCTAGCTTACCCATCCTGGAAATGATTTCTTCTATTTTAATTTAGTACAGGCACATTTTCTGAATGGATGTGAAAGAAGTTACTTGAGATGACTATTTGCATTGGTACGGTCAGCAGGTTCTAACAGAGACTTGAGAATAAATTTGTGTTCTCTCTTCAGAGTAGAATGTCTGCAGATGATTCATAAATAGCACAGTTTTTAAATGGTCACATTTATTTTATTTTATTTTATTTTATTTATTTATTTTTTTTTAAGATTTTATTTATTCATTTGAGAGAGAGAGAAAGAGAGAGCACGAGAGGGAAGAGGGTCAGAGGGAGAAGCAGACTCCCCGCTGAGCAGGGAGCCCGATGTGGGACTCGATCCCGGGACTCCAGGATCATGACCTGAGCCGAAGGCAGTCGCTTAACCAACTGAGCCACCCAGGCGCCCTGGTCACATTTATTTTAGTGGGCACCCTTCTGGGGTTTTCGATGCTACTGACAGTTCTCCTTCTCTTAACAGAAGAACAAAGTGAGGAGGCAGAAGGAGCTGCTAAGCCAGCAGCAGTGGCTGAGGAGGAGGAGAAAGACACAAGTGAGAGAGACAATAGTGAAGGCAAAAACTCTAATAAAGATTCTGGTAAGATGCTAGCATCCTTCACCTTTCTTTCCTCCACCCCATGCCTTGCAATCAGCCCTTCCGTCACCCCCACCAAAACTTATTAAAAGCTTTTATTCATTTTAAACTGTCTGAACATTCCCACTACTATTCATTGCATGTGCATTTTGCATGTGATTTCTATCAGTAGCCTCCCATTGACCTATTTTTAATCATAACCATCTGACAGAATAGATGTGGATAAGTTGAAGAATATTACAGGACGACCAGCGAGATTATTTTTTAATCAAATCAGTTTGTGTGCTTGTAATTTTTTAAGCGCCTTTCATTAATCTTAGCTATACTTGTGAGCCCGCTGATGGCATATTAATTTTTCATAAGCACAGGATTAGATATCACTTGAATTTTTTTCATCCAGTCACATGCACCCCCCCAAACCACGTAACCCTAAAAATAAATGTTATTTTTCCTTGCCTTTTTACAACTTACACTCAGGAATTTGCTCTTTTTTAAGGGCATCTATTTGAGGCATTTCAAACAAAGTCCAGTGGAAAAGTTTACAGATGATTCAGCCTAAGAAAGAGGAAATATCATTGAAAAGGGATTAGGTGCTGGGTAATTTTGATCTTCTAGAATAGACAAATCCCAGTAATGAAAGCTACTGTCTTTGAAAACAAACCTTCGTGTCATGACATTTACTTGTGCACAAACAAACCCTAGGCCAGCATCTGGTGTGGATACCTAAGGCTTTTTCTGTGTTTGATTTGGCAAATATATGACTTCATCCATGCTTTGTATGTATGAGATGGAAATCTATGGTCGCAATGAATATTACATTGGCTACTTTTGCTGCACGCTATACCTAGTTTTATTATGTTGGACTCACTGAAGCAGAAGAAGTGTGGAAACGGGTTCAAGCCTATTAGTTTCAGGTGCTCATCTATCTTTTCCTTGAATTCCAGTGACAGCTGCATATAAAGAAGCTTGTTTTCACTATGAAGACATTGGGTTGTGCAAAAGTATCATTTTTACGTGCAAGTTTGTTTAAGCCTGAATTATCCCAAATTTGTCATTCGGTCTCTGCCTATCTAAGTGTTGCATTCCCTTCAAAAAGTATTTGAAGGGCCTCTCTACGCCCCGCCCCCCATCGTTCAATGCTAAGTTTCTCTCAGGAGTCCAGTGAGAAAGCGCCACGTAAATTTGCGTCTAGGATCTAGTGGCTAACATATGATCCTAATTTGATTTAAACAAAGAGGATCTAAGGTTGGTGTGGAGCCTAAAGCAATGTAAAAAAGATGCCATAGCTATGTATTAGTAAACTGGCTCCTGAGGTTACTGACAAGGGATTTGAAATACCTAGTGATCAGTTAAGGTCAAGGGTAGTGCCATCTAAACCTCATTTTGAAAATAATTGGAAATCGCAAGGTGGTCAGTTTATTCATTCTCTAGGATGGGCCTCATCAAGGTTAGCTGTTTGGCGACTTCAGGGAGGGCAGGCTTCTGTCTGCATTCATTGGTGTCCTTCTCACAGTCATACCAAAAGACATTGCAAGGCATGTCCCTCCCATTCTTTAAAAGAAAGTGTAAAACACACAGGTAGCACATTCGTGGTAATTAAATAAATGCTCGTGTAATACCTAGGCATATGACATTACGCTTGGTTTTAAATATCTAATGCCTTCCAAAGAATGGATTCTGGGAATCTCTTGAAAATGGATCCAGTCTTACCATTGAGGAAGGAGTCTTACTGGAACATACCACAGATGCAGGGGCTGTATCTCCACCAGCACGGTTTACCACTCTGTATAAATAATGGGCTCAATCACTCCCTAATGGCCTGATGAGTTATTGTGCTTTCTTGGGTGCCTAATTGTACCATCTAGACAGGGCTTGAGCTTCTGAGAGAATACAGAACATTGTGTAATGTTAATTGTTTAAAACAATTTTTTATTCCTGCAGAAATGCCTCCCCAGGTGTGTCTATAAAAATGAAAATGGGATTTATGCACCAACTAAAAGCAATTACTGAGATGCAAATATTTAGCCCTGAAACCTCCTAGACTTCAAAACGGCTCTTGTTACTGACAACTACCACAAACTTTGTAACAAAGTTTTCCACTTTCTAAACTGAATCTGATTAGGTGAAAAAATTATCACGTGGATTTTTTTTCCCTTGTAAATATTTCTAACGATTGAATAACTACTTATGTCTTTACTGTTTTTTTTCCTTATGTCAGTTATAAATGTCAAAAAATACTAGCAAACTCATACATTAACCACTTTTTTAAAGTGTTGGATGGGAAAACAGTGTGACCCCCCTTTAACACAGAATTTTTTTAGACAGGAAGGAATTAACACACGTTTGGAAGACTATGTTTGTGTAAGCTGTTGTGCTGGGTTGCTGACATTAATCTCTAGGACTGCAGCTTTCAAAATGAGACTTGGCAATATGCAAGTTATATTTGTTGAATATTCATTCATAATAGAAAAGCCTCCTAATGCCTCATTTATATTGTCATTTAAATCTAGTGCCACTTTAGATTAATTATAATCCAAATTATAGCTCTGTGCAGTACAAGAATTAATATAGAGTTTATCCAGATTAATACATTTGCATTGAAAATGTAATATGTCTCTGCCATGGCTAAGGGGACCACTTTTTAATAAGGGAGTAAACATGAGCAAAGATGGAAATTAACCTTCATTATTGCAATTAAAATTATCCTTTCATTCTAGTCTCATTAGAAAGAATACTGTACCAGTAATTATAATTTAGAATTATTTGTAGTTGAATAACATCCTCTGTTATATTCAAGTTTTATAGTATTCAAACTTTATCAGATACATTGATTGATAGATAATAACTCAGTTTTTTGTTTTATTGTTGTTTTTCCCCCAGATTTGCTTTGAGTACATATGTTATTGGATTTTCCTCGCTTATTATGAGTATAAACCACTTTACAACCTTCCATATTTTAGGGATTGGAAAGTATTAAGTAGGCAGCATCTGAATTGAAATGAATTATGTCATTTTTATATTAGTAATCTCATGCAAGCTAAATAATCCCATAACTAACAGATAATCATTGGCTCATCTATTTGGCAGTGCTTATTTGTAATTAGATTTCATTTTTTAGTTCAAGTGCATTAAAATGGCACTGTTTTTTGAGAATATCGGGAGGTCTTAATAACACAAAATGAATTGTGATCTCATTTCAAAATTTTGTCTAGGGTAACAAGCAGGGTTTACTTCAAATAAAGTTGCAGTCATAACCTGTGAGTAACCACAAAACTTAATCAAAACTTTCCAAAATTGACAGGTCGCTATTTAATATATTTCCAGGACAAGACAATTCAGAAAAAGACCCCAGAATTGATGCCCTGTAATTTATTGAGTAGGCCATAATCCTTGAGATAGCACCCGGTTGAGTAGAAAGGCATGAGTGCATAAAATGTAACTTACATCATCTTTGCAAAAAGTTCTGATGACCTGCCTTATCCTCAAGAGCCTGTTTTTGTTATGTTATTGCATCTCACCTTTCTCTGCTTCTTCTTATCAATGGCATCTGTTTCTGGGTGCCTAGCTACAACTGAGTGGGGTGGGAGGGGAGCTAGCCCTTATTTATAACTTCTTTTTAATTTAAAATAAGATGATCTTTAGGAAGCCCCTAGCTTGCATTAAGATCAGGGTTTAATTAACTAAGTTAATTAGCCAAAAAATATTGAAGTTGACACATATATTGGGTAGACTACTATAGCCAACAGTTACGGCAGTGGCTATGAAATAATGACTCTAAAATTGAACTCTTTACTTCCTTGATGTAATGTGGAAGGTCCCTAAATTAAAAAACAAGCATATTGTTGATAGATATTAATAAGGGTAAAAATAAGAACATGGATTAATTATACCAAATATTTATACCAATCTATAACATAGTCTAAGTAAAATGTTTCAAACCTCGAAAGCAATGTTTTTTGATCCTTTATAGTACCAACATTAGAATATAGAATATATATGCTTATGAAAATAAGGCCATTTAACTTGTGTGTGACAGTTTTTGATAGCATAGGGAATTGGATCAACTTATTATTTGGTCACATCTAATTCTACCATGTACACAAAAGAATGATAAGGGGATATGACATAGTATTATTCTCTTAAGGGAACATATTCTTACTCACTAATGGGAACTTTCTAAGAAAAATCTTTCAGTTTCACAGGGAAAAGCAACTGATAGACGTTTGCTGATTTAAATGACAATCATTTTATAGAACTTGGTCTGACACCGGAGGGAGTAAATTTTATTTGCAGAATACTGAATGGCATATTGTCTTCCTAAATGTTTATTTTTAACACTATTAAGACAATAGCACAAAGGATGTTTTGTTTTGAGAAGAAAAAACATATTTTTTGATGCTAGAATTAAGTATGAGATACACACTCCTGTTTTGAACTATCTTTTGGATATCAAATACTTGGATATTGCTTAATAAATGTAATGAAATTCTTCAGTCCATCTCAAATTTAAGTTCATTCAAATACAAATATGATAAATTATTTTTTCAAATATTTACAAAGAATCTAAATTTCTCCAAGGCATGTGTATATACAGGACAAATGTACTAATTCAAATAAAATCTGGTGTTGGTAAATCTAGAAATCAATAGCAGTGTAATTTGTTGAAGGCATAGCGCTAATTCTGTACCTAACCACAAACCTCAAGGGGACAAAATTATTGTCATCATGTCATTAAAATTCTATTTTAATTTTGGTCTCCTCAGAGTCACTCTTACTTTTAAATTTCTTTCTGAATTTGAAGTTCCTAAAATTATTTATATGGTAGAAAACAGGCATCTCTATTCAGGACAGAAAAAGAGCATATTTTTTGGTTCATTTTTACTTTGTTTCCATAACATCCTTGACCTTATTTTTAAATTAAAACTGGGTTATTCTGCAATAAGGTGCAATTTGTTCATTTATATGAACCGTATGTGGATTGAAAAAAAAATCAAGATAAATCTTCATGCACAGCATACAATCAGATTACGCCTAGACTCTATATTTACGCGGGGTCTGATAGCAATCAATGGTTTAGCTTCATTGCATTTCAAGATGTATTTGCACCCAGTTGTCCAGTGATAGTGTCCTCACCCTGGAAATAATTTAGTTGCAAATTGACTGGAAGATGGTGAAAATTGAAAGTTAAAATTAGAAATACTCATAATAAACAGCAGAAAAAAGGTCAGATGATGCTGCGCTATGATGAGATTGGAATGGATGGTAAATGAGGTTTTATGTTTGTCGTGAGATGTATGTGACATGCCTACCCAATGTCGCTGTAATATCCAGCCTCACAGAGGAGATTATCGGGAAAATTGATGCTGGAAAGAATTTTCTGTTAAATTGGGAAATTAGAATTGCACTCTTTTCTTTGACGCGTGTGACGCTCCTGCACATTACATTGCTCATCTAGGCAAAATTCTAAACCGTCTTTAACACCAAATATTTGGATTAACCTCATAAAACAATTGTCTTCTTAAGGTTTGGACCATAATGTTATGTGTACAGCCAACTGCTGAAACATCTAAAATAAAGTGCAAATCACAAAAAGCAGTGACAAATATGGAACGTAGAGTAAATTTTTAAAATCCTGTATTCACCACGTAAAAATATTACTTGTATTTCTGAATTATAACTAGTCAGTTCGTCTTGGTATTTTTGAAATGTGTTCAGCGTCCAAGAATTTTAGAAAAGAGATAAGTAATTAAACGTTAGTAAAAGTAACTATTTTCTAAGTTAGCATTTGTGAATGGGAGTAGATTAGCTTTAATGTGATAAAGGCATTCTGAGACACCAGAGAGCATGTGTTATGGATGAATCTTTCAAGGTCACCTAGGGTTATCTAAACATGAGACAGGAGTACATTTTAAAAGATATTTATAAAGCCCACTTAGTAGATAAAAAGAAGTGTGCTTTTTGCCTTTTGAGATTCGCATATTTAAAAGTGTTTGTCCAGTCATTTTTATGATTCAGTGGATTTAGAGTCAGAGCTGTTCGAAAAACATACAATTTTTCGGAATTTGATGTTGTGAGTCTTTTAAAATTGAGGTATTCTATTCTTTTTTGGGAATCAGGAATAATCACACCAGAAAAGGAGCTAAAAGTCAGTGTGGGAGGGGGGCCCCAGCCACTCCTGCTGGCGAAAGAAGAGGATGTTGCAACCAAAAGATCAAAACCTACAGAGGACAATAAATTCTGTCACGAGCAGGTAAAAATGTTTTTTCCCTTTGCTGTGTAAACCTGTTTTTATTGTTGTTGTTGTTGTTGTTATTGCTCCTGATAGTTTTAGAGCCCCAAACGAGTTCATGCTGTTGAAACGTATGTAGACATTGTGATCAGCAGTAGAGTTAGCTCTCGGTGTTACTTCTCATGTTCTGAAGTCATCCAAGCCCATCCACTAACGGCGGCCATGTTTATTCCATGTTCTCCAGTTCTTTCAGTGTCCTTATTGTAACTACAATAGTAGGGACCAAAGTCGTATCCAGATGCATGTCCTGTCACAGCACTCGGTGCAGCCCGTCATCTGCTGTCCCCTCTGCCAGGACGTCCTCAGCAACAAAATGCACCTCCAGCTGCATCTGACGCATTTGCACAGCGTGTCTCCGGATTGTGTGGAGAAGCTGCTTATGACAGTAAGGAGCCCAATTGTTGCCACGGGTGTGACACGATCTCTCTAAAAGTATCAACACGAAATCTGTAATTATTGGTTGAGAAATTTACTTTTTTCTGCCTACTTAAGGCTCTCTTACAGACTGTGTTCTAGAAATCACAACCGAGGCCCATTTATTTGTCGTCTCTTTTGCTTATGGAGAAAGAAGGAAGATATGATACGAGGCATAGCTTATTCAGTAACATGCTTTACTGTCTTACTTCTGTATCTGTAAAGTTAATTAAATGACTCCTGTGGGCACGTTACGTTTCAAACTTTCCTGATTGTCATTATAAAAAAAATAGGCGGACAAAAACCTTCAAATCGTATTTTTAAAAAAAGAAAGGAATGCAGCATTGCAATGGCATCGATCTAAAATTCGAAGGCATAGCCTTGGCCTGTAAGATCCACAAAATGCCCCCACTTTCTTTTGGGAGAAGGGAAGTGGGATAGGCTACTGCCCAGTGACAAACGTGATGGAGTCTGATTTCTGGGCTCCATGTGACACAAACCCCTTCGGTTCTCACAGGTGCCTGTGCCTGATGTGATGATGCCCAACAGTTTGCTACTCCCAACAGCTGCCTCGGAGAAATCGGAGCGGGACACACCTGCAGCCATCACAGCTGAGGGATCTGGGAAATATTCAGGTATGCCAGCCTGGGTGCAGGATCTGCGGAAAACACGCTCAGGGGGCTCGCATGTGTGGTGATGTTCCAGGATTATGACTACCAAAGTTTTTTGGTTTTGTTTTTATAAAAAGCATGGAGGGAAAAAACTGTGGTGTTTCCAAGAGCTGCATTTTCCAAAGCACATTTAGTATCTGGTTCTCTGTAACTGCTCTTCGGAGACCTAAGTGTCACTGGCCAAGAATGTTCTGTGTGTTCTAATTCCTGAACACTGAGGTCGTGGCCCTTGGTATCATGCTGACGGCAACATACTATAACTACCTCGAGCTTGCTTTTTTTCCTATCCTGGAATTCCTTGAGGTCAGGGGTGATTTCTTATTCACCTTTACATCCCCAGCACCCAGTACAGTGGTTGGCACATAGTAGTTGCTCGATAAGTATTTCTTCAAAGACTCAATTAGGGGCGCCTGGGTGGCTCAGCCGGTTAAGTGTCTGACTCTTGATCACAGGTCCTGAGTTCAAACCTTGCACTGGGCTCCACACTGGGCATGGAGCCTACTTAAAAAAAAAAAAAAAAAGAATCGATTAAGCAGAAATCTTTAGAGGTTCCTACTTACTATATTTATTGGCATTTAAGCAGTAGGCTTTCTTCCCTGTAAGCGACGTATTTTTGCTTTCTTCTACACAGGCGAAAGTCCAGCGGATGACAAAAGTATGGCAGGTCTTGAGGATTCAAAGGCTAACGTGGAAATAAAGAGTGAGGAGCAGAAACCAACAAAAGAACCCATGGAAGTGTCAGAATGGAATAAAAATAGCAGTAAGGATGTGAAACTCCCTGACACTCTACAGGATCAGTTAAGCGAGCAGCAAAAAAGGCAACCCCTCTCTGTGTCGGACCGCCATGTTTATAAGTATCGCTGTAACCACTGCAGCTTGGCTTTTAAGACGATGCAGAAGCTTCAGATACATTCCCAGTATCATGCAATTCGGGCCGCGACGATGTGTAATCTCTGCCAGCGTAGTTTCCGTACATTCCAGGCTTTAAAAAAACACTTGGAAGCAGGCCACCCCGAACTGAGTGAAGCCGAACTTCAACAGCTGTATGCCTCCTTGCCCGTGAATGGCGAACTTTGGGCAGAGAGTGAAACTCTGGCGCAGGACGACCATGCCCTAGAGCAGGAAATGGAGAGAGAGTATGAGGTGGACCACGAAGGGAAGGCAAGTCCTGCGGGAAGCGATAGTAGCTCTATTCCAGATGACATGGGCTCTGAACCAAAGCGGACCTTACCTTTCAGAAAAGGGCCAAATTTTACGATGGAAAAATTCCTTGACCCATCACGCCCATATAAGTGTACAGTGTGTAAAGAGTCGTTCACCCAAAAGAACATTCTCTTGGTCCATTATAATTCAGTTTCTCATCTGCATAAGTTGAAAAAGGTTTTGCAGGAAGCCTCCAGCCCTGTTCCCCAAGAAACCAACAGCAGCACAGACAACAAACCCTTCAAGTGCAGCATCTGCAATGTTGCATACAGCCAAAGCTCAACATTGGAAATCCACATGAGGTCTGTGCTCCACCAGACCAAGGCACGGGCTGCCAAGCTGGAGCCCAGCGGCCACGTGGCCGGTGGGCACAGCCTGGCAGCCAACAGTAGCCCTGGCCAGGGGATGTTAGATTCCATGAGTTTAGCGACAGTCGGCAGCAAGGATACCCACTTAGATGCCAAAGAATTAAATAAAAAGCAAAGTCCAGAATTACTCTCTGCTCAGACTCCTCATCACCCGCTGCAGTCACCAGCACAAATCCAGATGCAACTCCAGCATGAGTTACAGCAGCAGGCTGCATTCTTTCAGCCTCAGTTTCTAAACCCAGCCTTTTTGCCTCATTTCCCTGTGACTCCGGAAGCACTGTTGCAGTTCCAGCAGCCTCAGTTTCTCTTTCCGTTCTACATCCCCGGGGCGGAGTTCAGCTTGGGGCCAGATTTGGGCTTACCGGGCTCAGCCACATTTGGTATGCCTGGCATGACAGGAATGGCTGGATCCTTGCTTGAAGACCTGAAGCAGCAGATTCAAACCCAGCATCACGTTGGCCAGACTCAACTCCAGATACTACAGCAACAAGCACAACAGTACCAGGCCCCCCAGCCCCCACTGCAGCCCCAGAAGCAGCCCCCACAGCCCCCGCAGCAACAGGCCGCAAGCAAGTTATTGAAACAAGAGCAGACGAACATAGCCAGTGCCGACTGCCCCATCATGAAGGACGTGCCATCTTACAAGGAGGCAGAAGAGATTGCGGAAAAGCAAGAAAAGTCAAAGCAAGAGTGTACAAGCGAAGGTGAAGGACTCAAGGAAGGCAAAGACACGAAGAAGCAGAAATCCTTGGAACCGTGCATCCCGCCACCCCGAATAGCTTCGGGGGCCAGAGGAAATGCAGCCAAGGCTTTACTGGAAAACTTTGGTTTTGAACTGGTCATTCAGTATAACGAAAACAGGCAGAAGGTCCAGAAGAAGGGCAAGAGCGGTGAAGGTGAAAACACCGATAAACTGGAATGCGGAACTTGTGGTAAATTGTTTTCCAATGTCCTTATCTTAAAGAGTCACCAAGAACATGTCCATGGACAATTTTTTCCATATGGAGCACTAGAAAAATTTGCTCGGCAATACAGGGAGGCCTATGACAAGCTTTATCCAATTTCGCCACCTTCACCAGAAACTCCACCTCCACCACCGCCACCTCCCCCTCTGCCTCCGGCTCCTCCACAGCCTTCCTCCTTGGGTCCTGTAAAAATCCCAAGCACGGTTTCTACTCCTCTGCAAGCACCACCACCCACACCCCCGCCGCCGCCGCCACCACCTCCTCCCCCGCCTCCTCCCCCGCCTCCTCCCCCGTCTGCTCCCCCGCAGGTCCAGCTGCCTGTTTCTCTTGACCTTCCACTCTTTCCTTCCATTATGATGCAGCCCGTGCAGCACCCTGCACTTCCTCCCCAGCTCGCCCTGCAGCTGCCCCAGATGGACACTCTGTCTGCGGACCTCACTCAGCTCTGCCAGCAACAGCTCGGATTAGACCCCAACTTCTTAAGGCATTCTCAGTTCAAACGCCCACGGACAAGAATCACAGACGACCAACTGAAAATCCTGAGGGCTTATTTTGACATCAATAACTCTCCGAGCGAAGAACAGATCCAAGAAATGGCGGAGAAGTCTGGCCTCTCTCAAAAAGTCATCAAGCACTGGTTTCGAAATACGCTTTTTAAGGAACGACAGAGGAATAAGGATTCCCCATACAACTTCAGTAACCCTCCCATAACTGTTTTGGAAGACATCAGAATTGATCCACAGCCCTCCTCTTTAGAACATTACAAATCGGATGCATCATTCAGCAAAAGGTCTTCTAGAACGAGATTTACTGACTACCAGCTTCGGGTTCTGCAAGACTTTTTTGACACCAACGCTTACCCAAAAGATGATGAAATAGAACAACTTTCCACGGTTCTCAACCTGCCCACCCGGGTTATTGTTGTGTGGTTCCAGAACGCTCGTCAGAAAGCACGGAAGAGTTACGAGAATCAAGCAGAAACTAAAGATAATGAAAAAAGAGAACTCACTAATGAGCGGTATATTCGAACGAGCAACATGCAGTACCAGTGTAAAAAGTGCAATGTGGTTTTCCCCAGGATCTTTGACTTGATCACGCATCAGAAAAAGCAGTGTTACAAGGATGAAGACGATGATGCCCAGGATGAAAGCCAAACCGAAGACTCCATGGACGCCACCGACCAAGTCGTGTACAAGCACTGCACCGTGTCTGGCCAGACGGATGCCGCCAAAAGCACGGCTGCCCCTGCAGCAAGCTGTGGCTCGGGGACTAGTACCCCCCTGATCCCGTCCCCCAAACCAGAACTCGAGAAGACATCTCCAAAACCTGAATATCCCACAGAAAAGCCAAAGCAGAGTGACCCCACTCCCCCTCCTCAAGGCACCAAACCAGCCCTGCCATTAGCATCGACTTCCTCAGACCCACCCCAGGCCTCAGCGGCTCCGCCACAGCCCCAGCCACCAAAACAGCCCCCACTCGTCGGAAGGCCTCCCTCGGCCTCTCAAACCCCGGTCCCTTCCAGCCCGCTGCAGATTTCCATGACTTCTCTCCAGAACAGTCTACCTCCACAGTTACTACAATACCAATGTGATCAGTGTACCGTGGCCTTCCCGACTCTGGAACTCTGGCAGGAGCACCAGCACATGCACTTCCTTGCTGCTCAAAACCAATTCCTTCACTCTCCATTCTTGGAAAGGCCCATGGATATGCCCTACATGATATTCGACCCCAACAACCCCCTGATGACCGGACAGCTGCTGAGCGGGTCTCTCACACAAATGCCGCCGCAGACCGGTTCCTCCCACACCACGGCTCCCGCGACGGTCGCTGCTTCCCTCAAGCGGAAACTGGACGATAAAGAAGACAACATGTGCAGTGAAAAGGAGGGAGGGAACAGTGGTGAGGACCAGCACCGCGATAAGCGCCTGAGAACCACCATTACCCCGGAACAACTGGAAATACTCTATGAAAAATACTTGCTGGATTCCAACCCAACCAGAAAAATGCTTGACCACATTGCACGCGAAGTGGGGCTGAAAAAAAGAGTCGTGCAAGTCTGGTTCCAGAATACGCGAGCTCGAGAAAGGAAAGGCCAGTTCCGGGCGGTGGGTCCAGCGCAGTCCCATAAACGGTGTCCTTTTTGCCGAGCCCTGTTCAAGGCAAAGTCGGCCTTAGAAAGCCACCTCCGCTCTAGGCACTGGAATGAAGGCAAGCAGGCAGGTTACAGCTTGCCTCCGAGCCCTCTTGTATCAACTGAAGACGGGGGAGAGAGCCCTCAGAAATACATTTATTTTGACTATCCGTCTTTGCCCTTAACTAAAATGGATCTATCAAGTGAGAATGAATTGGCTTCTACGGTGTCGACACCTGTTAGTAAAACAGCAGAGCTGTCGCCCAAGAATCTTTTAAGCCCGTCTTCTTTTAAAGCAGAATGTTCTGAGGATGTAGAGAACTTAAATGCCCCTCCTGCTGAGGCGGGGTATGATCAAAATAAAACGGATTTCGATGAGACTTCGTCCATTAATACAGCCATCAGTGACGCCACCACAGGGGATGAGGGCAATGCTGAGATGGAAAGCACCACGGCAGGTTCCGGAGACGTGAAGCCGGCCTTATCTCCCAAGGAGCCCAAAACTCTCGACGCTTTGCCAAAACCCGCAACCACACCCACCACGGAGGTTTGCGATGAAAAATTTCTCTTCTCTCTCACCAGCCCCTCCATACACTTCAATGATAAAGACGGCGACCACGACCAAAGCTTTTATATCACGGACGACCCCGATGACAATGCAGACCGCAGTGAATCATCCAGCATCGCTGACCCGAGTTCACCAAATCCCTTTGGATCCAGCAATCCTTTTAAATCCAAAAGCAACGATCGACCAGGTCACAAGCGTTTCAGAACCCAGATGAGCAACCTTCAACTCAAGGTTCTCAAGGCTTGCTTCAGTGACTACCGAACTCCAACCATGCAAGAATGTGAAATGCTAGGGAATGAGATCGGTCTGCCCAAACGCGTGGTCCAGGTGTGGTTCCAGAATGCAAGGGCAAAGGAAAAGAAATTTAAAATTAACATAGGGAAGCCTTTCATGATTAATCAAAGTGGAACGGAAGGCACCAAACCAGAGTGTACCCTCTGCGGGGTGAAGTACTCTGCCCGCTTGTCCATCAGAGATCATATTTTCTCCAAACAGCACATTTCAAAAGTGAGGGAGACCGTTGGGAGCCAGCTTGATCGGGAGAAAGATTACTTGGCTCCAACCACTGTTCGACAGCTGATGGCACAGCAAGAACTTGACCGTATAAAGAAAGCCTCAGACGTGCTGGGCTTAGCGGTACAGCAGCCAAGCATGATGGACAGCAGCTCCCTCCATGGCATCAGTCTGCCAGCATCCTATCCAGGCCTCCCAGGCCTCCCTCCAGTTCTGCTCCCTGGAATGAACGGTCCATCCTCCTTGCCCGGATTTCCACAAAATTCAAACAGTAAGTCATTTCAAGGCGAGTCAGTCTAATTCATTAATTAATATTAGGCAGCCGATCACACGTAACCAAGAACAGGGTATACGTTTGGATCTCTTTTAATTTCAGTAAGTGACACCTTTACCTTATTGGAAATATATATTTCAGTGGCTATAATTAAGAACCAGGAAGTAAGTCAGGCTGAACATATGCGGAAAAATAAAGACTAGACAGGTCATCGCAGTGTCTTAGAAATATATTAATATAATTTATATCATCACATCCTTATGTCTTAAGAGAAGTATTCCTTTTATATAATTATTTTAATACTGATTTCAAATGGCATTTTAGCACAAACATGTGGCATAATATTCGATATACATATTAATAAAGCAAAGCATTAAATAATACATTTTTTTGGATCTTAATTTATGTTCTTTCCAAGGAAAAAGTTTGTTTGTTTGTTTGTTTTGGGTTTGCTTTTTTCTTCTTCTTTTTCTTAAGTGCCAGGAAGTTCAAAAGTTAAGGGCCCTCTAGATATAGGAATTCACCTACGTTACACCTAGCAGGTAATAAGCTTATGTTCAAAGTTTAACTCCTAAAAATATGACTTCTGTAATAATTTACACTTTAGCATTGCTATAAGATTCTGATTTTTGAGGCACCCATTGTTACTTGCTACTTCAATAAATTTACAACCTTAGAAATATATTGATATTACTCTATGACTTTCTACCCCCCACCGCCACCCCATGTCTATAACTAAGTCATAACTAAATTGTAAAGCTGTTTGAGGCAACCCCAGATGATGAGTCCCATTCTCTGTTCATCAAGAGAAATCTAATTTATGCAGTTTAGATTTTGTGAATAAGAATAGGCACTGGGTTGAAAAAAAAGTCAATATAGTGTGCTAGGCAATCACACAGCCAAACATGTAAGGAATGTTACATGTTTTATTGTTTAATGTGTTATACAAACCTTATTATGCAAAGTAGAAAAAAGGGCTCTCTTATAATTTCTTCCTTAAAGTAAGTTTTATTTTTCAAATTAACAGTGTTTTTCAAAAAAAGAAAACAAAAAAACCCAAGAAAACACCAGTGATATTTTTCCTTTTTATAAGGAAATTTTGACATTATTTAGAACGAACTAATTGCATGTAGCTAGAAAGTTTCCAAAACACACAGAGCTTTCCTCAATCTCACAAATTGGACTTTTACATAAATTTCCAACTTTTCAATTTCATCTTTCTCTTCTAAAACCAAAATTGCCATGTGATTGTAGGAAGATACTCCTATTTTAACTTTTAGTTTGGGAGACATGAAAACAATGATATGGAATGGCTCTTTGACCACTGGTAACTGCTCTGGTTTTCCCTGTCCAGAATGACTAGTTGGCATTAGAGAGAAGCAGAATAGACCTACGCATATAAGGAATGTGCCCAAGAACAATTCTTCAGCGGCCCTTCCTTTAACTATCATACCAACTCCTACCAACTACCTTGCCCCTAAGTAATATTTTTGGCTTAATTATCTGGATATTCTTGGGGCCTGAAAATGTTAAAGCTACAATTGCATGATTTATCTGTACATTCAATTAAGTCAGACATAATTGTTTTAAGAATAGTGCAGTGCTTGTTTTTTTTTTTTTGCACATGACTGTATTAGTCTTCCAGTCCCAGTCCCACTTCACATGTCACTGTGATTATTGACACATAAAAAAATGTCTTATGTGGAAAAACTCCTAGGATCAGTTATGTAAAAGAGAGATTTTCCACATAATGTCTGGTGTGGAAAAACTCCTATGGACAATTATGTAAAATTTAAAATAAAATATTATGTGAAATAGAGTAAAATTTGATACTTTACATCCACTGAGAACAGTTTAAGGGTCTGTACCTTTAATCTGCAAGTCTGCTTGGATCGATGCTGGCTGTGGAGTCACCCCCTTCAATGGCAGCCAGAGCATCTTGTTTTTCTCTCTGCTGGATCACAGGCCTTTGCTTGGACAGTGGGTCCTTTGCTGACTGCCCTTCTGGTCCATCACTCCAAAACCGGCACTAGTGGTTTCAGGATCACTAGTGACATACAGAGGGCCTGTATGAGAGAAAGTGAGAAGAGAAGTAGAGAAATGGTTAGGAAATACTTAAATAACCTAACCTTTCTCCTCGTTCCACTCAACATAAATGTACTTTTATCCTTCTCCCCTCGGAGATGTGGGCTCTGTTTGTAAGTATCAGAGTTGCAGAAAGATGTCGGCAGCACCCCTTCAGTGAGCAGTATCTATACATGCATCAGGTGTTGAGGAACTCGGCGCTTTGAATCTGTTACTTTATTCAATCATAGACCAAAACAGACCAGAGAATGTTACCAAGGGAAAAGGTCTGTGACCGTACCTACTAGAATTTGCAATTTCTCTTGAATTCGTTCTTTGGTTAAACATTAACACAGTGGGAGCACCAGCAAGACCCTGTCTGAGAGCCTAAGTTCCCACACTTCCGGTTCCCATCTTTTTTCAGGCTAATTTACCTGTGGTGGGTAATGCTGAATCTTCTAATTAGCTCATAGAGTGGAGCTGTGGTTCTCCATCCTTCTATCATCATCTTTCCACTGTGTTCTTTCTCCTCAAGCAAATATCTCCTCTGCTTTACAGGAGAGGTAGACATACCAGCGAGGTGAAATCGAAAGGAGAAAAATACTTCCTAACTAGCATATATCTATGTTTCTCGCATGCTCTGGGCTCCTGCCACAGCTTTATATATATATACATATATATATATGAATATATATATATGATTAAATTTTGATATATATATATGAATAAACATATATATATATATATATATGAGTAAACTTTAAGATTAGGACATGTTCATCTTGGGCCTACTTTAATGGGATTTATTTATAGAAAAACCTTCATTTTAAAGATAACCCATCCCTTTGAAGGTAAATCTGAGGGGTTTGATCCTAAGGAAATCACAAAAAAGGGACTCCATTGAATATGAGATGGGCCATAAAGTAATGTCTGATTCCAAAGGCTACAAGCCAACACTGATTTAAATTACAATGTACATGTTCAGTTTCAGTCTTTATCAACCTCTAAATTTTCCGGTTTAATCACCCACTTTATTCTATTTTGGGTGGAATTGCTGTTCTGCTTTACCAGCTTTAACACTTACCTTGCTTCCAACAACTCTTCAAATTATTTTGTCTTTCAAGATCATAAAAAGGCCCTTTCAAGAGTAATATGCATTGTGTGTGCCTGTTTCCCGAATGATGACCTGGCCCTCTGTTCAGGATCACTAGTGACTAGTACTCATTTGCTAATAAAAGGAATTATTTTCTGCTTAAAAAATTTCCACATTTGTCTTTTTCTCTCATGATCATATGTAAAAAGGGCAAGTGGCAATAGCAAATCCCATGCCTGTACACCTGGGAAAAATGCAAAAACTTTAAATTTACATTTAATCCTTTTTTTAAAGATTTTATTTATTTATTTGAGAGAGAGAGAGAAAGCAGGGGGAGGGGCACAGGGACAAGCAGACTCCCTGCTGAGCAGGGAGCCCGATTCAGGACTTGATCCCAGGACCCTGGGTCATGACCTGAGCCGAAGGCAGACGCTTAACCAACTGAGCCACCCGGGTGCTCCAAAATTTACATTTAATCCTTGAGGATGTTGGCTTCCTTTGGCATTTTGCTCAAGATGAATAGAAAACTAACTTGATTTTCTATTTTTAACTTATTTACTTTATCGTTTTAAGCAGTGTCTGATTTTTATATCTTCCATTAATGTTTGGAAATACTGTCTAACCCAATTTCCTTAAATGGAATGTTAGAACATGCCTTTTGCATTTTTCTCATACTTCAGTGTAATTTACTAGCACATTTGGGGTAAATCTAGATAAGAGTAAGTCTTTCATAATTTTAGCACAATTGTCTTTGGCTCCATGTACATAATAAGTTTTATTTTCACCTCAAAAGTAAATTTTCCCTCTGGGAGACCAAGATCAAGGAAACCTGAGGGAAAATAACTATCTAAGTTCATTGCGAGACAGGGTTTTCTTCCAAAAGCATAACTTTCGGGAATAGGCTGCTGTTCCAGGAGAATAAAACCAACAAAATAATGATAATAGGAGATTATTTTTATAAAAACTTTTCTCTCTCAGTGATATTTCAACGAATTGGAGTAGGAGTTAAGGAACAGGAACAAATGTACCTTTAGCACTATAACTTGGTAATCGATGGAAAAATTTGACATGCATTTAGTTTATAGTTACCACTACTTCTTCTGTATCAGGATTACTGTTGAGTTTTTCTCTTCTATTTCTGGTTTTCATCTATCAGTTGGCTTTTGTCTTTTACTATAGGCCCAATGTACACTGTTCTTTATCCTTAATTTGCATCTCTTTTCCTAAGATTTTTACTTAATAGCTAATTATTTTTTTAAAGATTTTATTTATTTATTTGACAGAGAGAGAGCACAAGCAGGGGGAGCGGCAGGCAGAGAGAGAGGGAAAAGCAGACGCCCTGCAGAGCAGGGAGCCCGATGTGGGACTCAATCCCAGGACCCCAGGTCCGTGACCTGAGCCAAAGGCAGATTCTTAACCGACTGAGCCCACCCAGGTGCCCCTTAATAGCTAATTATTTGACTCGGATTACTCTTCAAGGTGTTGAATTCCTGAAAATCTCCGATAGTCTTTGACTGTAGCAGTTAGGAATACTATTGCAGTCTTCTGAAAATTTTCATGCCAATTCATCATATGTCCTCTAGCTGGGAACATATGTCATCTGATGGGAAAGCCTGAGTCAACAACTATTGACCCTTTTGTTTTCTAACTACCATTGCTGTTTTAAGTCTTTTAGTTCCTTAAAATTTCTCAAATTATCATGTCAGAGAGATAGGTGAGCCAGCAATTTTCTTAGATGTAGGGGGAAAAAGCATTTAGGTGGAGGGGAGTGCAATTATTGAGTATGAAGTCTAGTTGAACTAGACCTAGAACTAAGGTTGGCTTTATGAATAGGCAAAAGAAGCTGAGTACCATCATAGTGTCATTCTAACAATGCAAGGAAGGTTCTTCCGTCCTTAGTAAAGCTTCTTCCAACTGAATCACTCATGCCTGAAATTCTGTAATTTGATATTAATGCCTTTGACTTAATGAATTATTCTCGGTTAAATGGAAAATAGCATAGAATATCATGAAATCAGAATACTATAGCAGGAAGAAATCTCAAATTATATAAACTAGGGTAAAGCATTTTCAGAAATAGGTGTATTTGAGGGCCCCTGGGTGGCTCAGTCGTTTGAGTTTCCAACTCTTGATTTTGGCTCAGGTCATGATCTCAGGGCCCTGGGATCGAGCTTCCCGCCCCCGCATCGTGCTCCACACTCAGCAGAGAGTCTGCTTGGATTCTCTTTCTCCCTCTCCCTTCCTCCCTGCCCATCCCCCTGACCAATGCATGTACACTTGCACACATGCTCTCTCTGTCTCTCTCTCTCTCTCAAATAAATAAATCTTTAAAGAAAAGAAAAAGAAATAGGCATATTCAAGTCATTGGTTCTTTCTCGCAAATCCAATTTTATAGAGAGGCAAGTAGAAAGAAGAAGGCCTAGTAGTGCCTGAATAAAGGTAACGGAGTTGAGGGATTGGGACCCCGAAAGCAACTTCATTACTTTACAGTTTTCTCAGGGCTAGTCTATGTCCCATCAATCCAAGAAGTCTATCACACCAAACTAGATTAAAGATTCAGGAATTTATTCATTCATTCCTACCATTCCCTTGCAAATCTTAAGCCATTTTCATTTCAGTGTGTTTTCAATGTGTCAGCCATTCTTCTGTAAAATGTGGATACTTGCTATCAG